GAAAGGTGCGCGCTCCTCTCGAACAGCCAGGCCACGAGCGACTCATTGAATCCAGGTCGTGAGAGTGAGGAGTTCTACGTCAGAAACAGCGAATAATAGCAGTGAGACCGCACTATCAAACACGACTGAATTATGCATTTAATTTCGCACGTGTGAATTACGTGGAAAGTGTATGGATGGACATTGTTAAAAATAATCATCATACCCAGGTTGAACGATTACTATTATTGACTTGTAACGAAAGCGAAAGACTTCTTTCTTTATGCAACATTACGGAAAATTAGTGACAACCGCGTACACACAAAATTTATATAGTGTGACTGAAGCTGTGTATAAGTCGATATTATTGTGTGCTCTTATTTTCAACTAAAGCTTCCGTGACATCTGTGGTTTATGCTTCAGACTTTCAGAAAATCTAATCTAATCAGGCATTTTCTATACTCTTGGAGTTTCCATGGATCTCGTTACAAAGTGCGACTTTTTCTCTGGATGGTGATATGATTCATGTATTACAACTAACACGTTATAAAGAGCACTGATGTGATTATCCTGGTCTGAAAATTCAAAGGAATAATGAGAAAATCTTGGTATAGCTAGCATTCCGACAGCCGCTCACCCTCCGTAAAACTATTACTGTAAAAAGTAACTGGCACAAGTCCCTCCCCGGGGACTGGCGTGAGACTGTGCTATTGTTCCACTCGTGAGAAACGCACGTAGCGGAATTGCTAGCACGACTTCCCATACACTCGGAGACGATTCGGAGGGCTCGGCTCCCAGCGCCAAGGGACGGGGCCCGCGAAAGGCTGGAAGTTTTCAGCTTCGTGTGAACTGTGCCTGGTTCCTCACGGCCGGAAGTTCCTTTTTTGCTGGTGGAAAACGTGTCGATGAAGAGGCCAAAAGTGAGATCATTTGATGTTTAAACTGATGTGAAATCCAGTGGGAACTTGATTGTAATCTGCAGAATAGGTGTGCTCTTTGTTCACCTACATATTTGTTCTGTGTAGACAGTGTGTGTGCACATGAGTCATTGTAGGCGCAGCCGTGTGTAGAAACATAGTGATGCCGGAATTTCTATTCACGTGACGGAGTGTACCAGAGTGATGGCGTCGGTGTGCAAAAGTAGTGTAGTGTTGCTGCTGGTGGCACTGCTCCTGATTGCAGCGGCAACAGTTGTCTCGTCGTGCCCCCCTGTCTGTACTTGCAAATGGAAGAATGGCAAACAGGCCGTGGAATGCAAAAACCAGGGCTTGGCAAGCCTTCCCGCCGATGTGCACACCGATACACAGGTTCTGGACATGTCGGGAAACAATCTGCACACCCTTCCGAAGAGTGTGTTTTCGTGGGCGAGTCTCATTAACCTGCAGAAAATCTATCTACGAGACTGCAAAATCAGTTTCGTGGAGCCTACAGCGTTGTTGCAGCTGACGAATCTGGTTGAGCTGGACCTAAGCGAAAATTTGCTGACGGAAGTACCTGCACTCGCCTTCTCACACACGCCAGCCCTCAGAGAACTACATCTTAGGGGCAACAGAATTCATAAAATTTTCAGGGACAGTTTCTCACACACCCCTTCTCTCGTCCGCCTTGATCTAAGTTATGCTGGGGTAAGAAACATTGCAGCTTCAGCCTTTGACTCTTTATCACTCCTGGAGAAGTTAAAGCTCCAAGGAAACCAGCTGTCAGAGCTTGCGCCGGAAACTGTGAAGAGTCTAGAACGTCTGCACGGAATCGAATTACACGGTAATCCCTGGATGTGTGACTGTCGGGCCCTTCCGCTCTGGCGACTCCTGGAGGAACACGACGTGCCCCATCCCGTCTCGCCATCGTGTCACGCTCCTAGCAGAGTTGCGAGCAACACCTTCCACAGTCTGAGTGAGGAAGACTTTGCCTGCCCTCCACAGATGCTGCCAGTTAGCCGCCGTGTCGAGGGAGTTGCAGGGGAAAACGCATCTGTTGCCTGTCGAGTTGGGGGTCAGCCTCCACCTCAAGTGGTGTGGTATAAAGGTGAAGCTCCTGTGGTGAATGGGTCTGTGGTAGGACTTGGACCGCAGCGACTCTACATCATAACGGAAGGCAATAGAGATGTAGTTAGCCGTCTGGTGATAACGGGGGCACAAGAGACAGACTCCGGAACACTGCGATGTGTTGCTATAAATTCTGCAGGTTCTGCAACGGCAAACTTCACTTTAGCAGTGACCATGAGAGCAGCTGCCCAGGCTAAGCTTGACTCAGGTCACATAGCTGGAATATCTGTAGGGCTGGTGGTGTTAGCGTTGGTTGTGCTTGTAGTAGGATTTTTGTTCCTTGCCCGGACTAGGTCACACCCTTCCCCTACACCTGTAAAGGAATCCCCAACCACACCAACGTCAGGCGGCACATCACCCAATGAACCCAACCCTATTCAGAAGCCACCTCGCCTAACAGACCTGAAAGGCTCCCCGGGAACGTATGGCTCGCCCGCACTGGGCAATCCCGATGTTATCAGCGAAGCGGAGAGAGCTGTTCGTGCTGTTAATGGTCACCTGCCCAATGGGTCCGTCCAAAACGTCACGGGGACAGGTGATTACACCCGCGTCGAAGGAGACTCATTATACCCGAGTGGTCTGTGGCCTGAGGATTCTGCCCACGACGGTGTCGAGGGCACTGAGAGGTCTAGTGTGATTCACGAACACTTCAACCCTGGCTACATGGTCAACGATCTCGGTAGCGAAGGATATGGACCTGTGCATTCTACACCGTACCGACCCGGATATGATACTCAGGAGGAATTTGATCCACAGATTTATGGATATCCAGCAGACTATGGTCTTCCTATTCCTGAAGCTGGTTCCCGGACCCTCCACCCCTTCCAGGATTCCATGGTAGATCTGCGAGGATCACGGGACGACATCTCCTCCAGAGCAGACATTTACTCCTCCAGACAAAATACATACATCACCAGACCAGACATTTTTGAATCTCAGCAAGACCTTTACAGCACGGGCCACGATGCCAAAGACACACAAGACCTTTATGGCAGAACAGGTCGCCCTCCCGTCTACGGGTATCGTCAGGAAATCTACGGGCCTCGCGAGGACGTGGCCGAAGGTGCAGAGAGCCCCACGAACGCATCAGGCCCTCCAGGAGAGCGGCCTTGGGTTCCGGGGTCCCAGGCTCCCGCTCATGCTCGCGGGGGCGTCGCCGTGCTGCCCCCTCTCCCCAATGGCATCGCCAACCGCATCAAGTCCCGGGACTCGCCAGACGAAGGCTACCAGGAGGGCACCGAGGTTTAGCGGGGCTGCAGGGGTCGCCGCCGCGGCGGTCCCTGCTTCCTCCCCCCCACCCCCACCCATTCACGCCTCTTGCCGCCCATGCCCGACTGTCGCCGCTTCTCAGCCAATCATTCACAGACATCACCGTGAATTGCAACATAGAACATATGAACTGAAAGACTCTAGAATTGTGAAATATATCAATGATATTTTTGAGAGAAGGAAGCCGTTTCTACTGCTGATAAGTGCTATTGTGAAAGTTTTGAGACCAATTATGATGTGTGATGTGCCTCATATCACACCTTAATCACAGTTCTTGTCTCTGTGTTGTCCCCAATGAAAGATAGTTTCAGTGTTCACGCGATATTATTTTTTTATTTAGTTTATGGGACGATCAAGTAACCGCTCAGAGAATAGACTTATAGTAAATCTTTCGGGATGGTAACCAAATTCTCTCTGAGGGAAGGTTTATGAACACACGCACACACGCACACACACACACACACACACACACACACACACACACACACACACACACACACACACACACACACACACACACACACACACACACACACACAGCAACCTATAATCACACACACACCTATACACAAACACACCTATACACACACACACACCTACGCCTACACACACCTACACCTACACCTACACGCACACACCTACACCTACACACACACACCTACACCTACACACACACACCTACACCTACACCTACACACACACACCTACACCTACACACACGCACACCTACACACACGCACACCTACACACACACACACCTACACACACGCACACCTACATACACGCACACCTACACACACGCACACTTACACACACGCACACCTACACACACACACACCTACACACACACACACCAATACACACACATACCTATACACACATACACATCTACACACACACACACACACCTACACAGACACCTACACACAGACACCTACACCTACACACACACACCTACACCTACTCACACCTACAAACACACACACACACACGAACACACACACACACACGAACACACACACACACACACACACACACACACACACACACACACACACACACACACACACACACACACACACATATATATACTATGTGATAGAACACTTATATTCTGTAATGAGAACCATAGATGATGTGCCGGAACAGAGCGTTCTCACCTGGCGGTGACCTGCAGGCAGGTGTGAGGCCTGCACAAAGGGGCAGGGAATGAATGGAAAGCCCTCGCCATCTCTTCAAACAGTAATAAGGGACCCCTTTCTCCTAACCCCAATGTGTCATTTTAGTGATAATACTATCATGTTTTATATCTGAAACGCGGCATATCTTTAACCATGTCTCAGACTCATTAGAAGTGTGTTCACTTCTTAATCAATTTGTACAGAAGTCTGTAAGTTGTACATATTGTGTAATATCTATATTATTTAAGATAACGGCATTACACCAAAGATCTTCATACATACCTGCGACCTCTTGGCTCCTTAAGTAACACCAACATATTACTGTAGAAATTAAAGCTTTCGAGTCTACACAACATAACGTATCGCAGGTGATCATGAATATGTAATATGTAATAGTGTGCGTAATTGGAGACAGCCTAGCTGGTGCGTTACTTGGTAATGTACAAAGGGGCAAACCTCGCCAGGTCTACCAATAGCCAACTCTGGAATTGCACTGAGTGAACCAAAAATATATAATTTTCAGATG